TTTTAAAAATTTTCTGGGAAAAAAAAGAATTTTTTTTAAAAACCCCGGGCCCCTGAGGCCGGGGGGAAAAAAAAAAAAAAAAAAAAAAAAAAAAAACATATCCAGCTGTGTAAGAAACCACGTCCTTTACCTTGCTATAACTGAAACGCTCCTGTGCTCAACATGCAGGCAAGAATCCATTCAGATTAATTAAAAAACGCTCAATGGGTTACCGCCAGAAACTTACCGTGTTTGCCACAGAGCGATGAAGCAGACCAGCACAGACAGAGGACGCGAGCTTCTTTCTCTTCTCATGACTGGAGCCTGGAGATCAGGAAAAAGCTTCAGAGCGCGTTGAGATCTCCTAAACCCGCTTCATTTCCACGCAACATTTCGAAACCCAGCGCAGCTCTGCCAGGAACCGAAAGCCTACCTGAAGCTCGACAGGTGTGCCCGCCGTTGCTAAGGGAAACCGTGATGCGCGCAGCGGAGATGTGCGTAGGTCTGAAGGCGGTCAGAGAGCTTCCATCCTGCCAGACTCTCCTCCAAACAAACGAAGCTGAAAACGAAAACTGCGCGGGGAGAGAGGCTCCCTGCTGAGGCGGACGAAGTCTGTGCGTGAGAGCGCGCGGCTGCGCACGGTGAGCATCCTCTGCTCTGACGAAGCCCGTTCAGGATTAGGGAAAGCGCTGAAATACATCTGAGCCCGTTCTTTTCCGCAAATGTCATCAGAACAAAAGAGGGTAACACAAATTACTTTAGGAAAAAAAGGAAAATTTATTGTCATTATGACTTCCGTAAATAAAAACAAAAGAAACTCGGACTGAACAGGACAGGAGGCTAAAAAAAATCAAACATCCATCACACATTAGCCTAATATTCTCATGATAGAAGTAACTCCCAACTGTAACTTCTTACTCATCCTGAATTAGTCATATAACCCCCCAGCCCCCCCCCCCCCCTTTGTAAAATGATGACCATGGAGTTACTCATTATACAGATGGATTACATCACCTTTGTCTGTCTATCCTGCAAAACTCTAATTATTTACTTTTCACAGAGGGTTGAAATATTTTTTCTAAATATTTTTAAATAACACATGTAGACCAGGGATGTTCACCGCATAGATGATTTACGGTGCAAAGAATTATTTGTGTGGCCACATCTGCATTTGAAAAATTATGCAACGGTACTGGATCTTAGCCCAATAAAGCCCTTATATCATTCTAGCAGTGTGAGATCTTCAAGTATCCACAAGCAGATTAAAGTAGCATCATGTTAAGAAGATGCAAATAAAAGAATACATGAGAGAGAAGAAAAAAAATATGAAAGAGGTTTTCCAATTTACCTTCCACCTGTTCAGTTTACTCAAAATTTGAACATCTATATATAAATGGTATCATATAAACAGTGTTTTGTATTTCTATAAAGAGGCAATGAATGATCCAGTTGGAAGGGTTCCAGTTTCAGTTTCAAAATACCTCCAATCTAATGCAAACTCGTTTTGACTGCAGGACCAGAACAATCCACTGCTATGAGATAAAAAATGGTGAAACGGGGAAAGGTCAAATGCTGTGTCATTTAGATAAAGTCAGCTCTGCATCTGTGGCATTTAAGAAAAATATTTAAGGTCATAAAATGCAGCTTAATTTCCAAGGAAACTAAGCTCCCTACTCAGTTGTACTGTAGCTGGGTAAATAAAAATTGACAAGACATTGAAGCAATAAACACAACACCCAGAATGATCAGAGACATTCTAATAGGCTGTGTGGGTTTTTGCATTTGCCTTGTGTTTGTATCCTTATTAGTTTTTTTTTGTTTGTTTGTTTTTGTTTGTTTTTTTTAACTCCGACTCATGGCCTATTTTTGAGAAACATGGTTGAAAATAACATGCCTAAAATTAATTGAATGTATCTCAAGAACTACAGAGTTTATTTTAATTGTTTTGGTATCAAAATAAAGGCAAGACTCTAGAGAATATGTTACAGCTCTAAAACCCACCCTGCCTGTTACTGAGGAAAGTGAATTAATATGATACACAGCAGAAATTAAGCAAAATATCTATTTCCGCCTAAAAAAAAACCAGATCAACATATGAAGACTCCTTTCAAAGCATGTTTACTACATGTTTTGGATGTAGTAAACAACAGTACACAATCTGACCTTTTACTGTGCCAAGTTTCATGAAAAAAAAGTGAATCATATGAGTTTTAGAGAGGTACTACTTGATAAAAATCTAGGCGGACCTTCCAAATTAGCCATTTTGGCACAATTTGTGCCATTTGAACTTTCTCGGGTTTTTTTCTGTAGGTTCTGTTTCAATTATTTATTCTTATCATAGAATAAATGATTACTTGTCATAGATAAGTAATTACATCTAATAACAATTGTTTTGGGGGTTCCTTTGAAAAATCCACATTGCATTCATTCATAAAAAGAGAAAAAAATAGACAAATTGTAATAATCTGAAAATAGAACAGATTAACTCACAATAACATTTCAAATAGAATTATATAACAATGAAAATGCAAATTGCAATGAAAACTAATTTGTCAAAATGATATGATCACAGTAAAATACTAATATATCTCACAATTACATTACAATAACAATGCGCTCTGCGCGTAAAATCATGCAATTCTCCATTCAGACGTTCAAAATTACGCTGGGCAGTTTCTCGGGAACCCATTGGCCAATTTCGATGATTGACATGTCTATCGAACCGTCAGAGCCAGTAGAATCCGAGGGCGTTGACATTAATACGGAACCTAAAGCCATTCACCAATTACAGGGCGGAAAACGCATGCGGTGTAGATTGACGATGTTCACCTCTAGATTTTGTT